AATGAGCCTGTTTCTGTTTATTTTGCTGACTGGACTCCACGCGAGTGAAATCATGTCTCGTGTCCCCCGAGTGGCGTCTTGCACTTAGCGCAGCGCCCCCAGGCCCATCCGCACTGTCACCTTGGAGTAAATTGTTAATATTCTTAAAGCCTTTGAACGCTGCTCCTGCCGTCAGGGGTGGGGGGATAGGGGAGAAGGGGGGGAGTCCCCCGCTCAGGCCCGGGGGGACGGTTTCGTGTGGGAGGGTCTCCAGGGAGCCGCGGGCCGTCCTTTCCTCTTCGCTCCGGGGGTCGCCGTGAACTCGAGGAAAAGGGGCGGGAAAGGGGGTTTATAGAAAGTGGGAGAAACGAGGGTAAAACTTCCGAGAGAGGCTTGTGCTGGGTGCTTCTCAGAAGCGCCGAGAGGCCAGTGAGTCTGTGGCAGAGAATGAACGGACCCCGCGGGCTCCCACCGCCGGGGCGCTGAGGGCTCCCACCCGGCCGAGGGGGGACCCGCGCGGCCCGCCCCCGCTGTCGTTCATCTCCAAGGCGACGTCCGCCGTCCACGTGCACTCGGGTCTGTCTGCCAGAATTTCTGCGTTACTTCGTTGCTACTGTAGCTCTCTGTTGCCATGGTTTCGCCGGGTTTCCTACTCTCTGGGGTATACAGGTTTTCTATGTCTAGATAATACTACCAACAAGAGAGGAAACATTGTTGCGAGAAAGAAAAAGTTCAAAAGGGAAGATCCACACCTAGATAAAGTTATTATAAAATTAAAACAACTTTAAAGACAAAGTTATACAAACTTACAGTATGAAAAAACTCCTGGCCGGCTGGGCGTGGCTCAGCGGTTGAGCATCCACCTAGGATCCAGGAGATCGCGGTTTGATTCCCGGTCAGGGCACCTGCCGGGGTTGCAGGCTGCAGCCGATCAATGACTCTCTCATCATTGATGTTTCTCTCTCTCTCTCTCTCTCTCCACCTCCTTTCTTCTCTCTGAAATCAATAAAGATATGTTTAAAAATAAATAAGTAAAAAAGAGAAACTCCTAATGAAATTGAGTTCAGACTTTTCAGGAGGTGCAAGACTAGAAAGTAGTAAGACTTTTAAATAATTGAGGATACAATGACCTTCAAGCCAAGATCTTTTTGTAGGTAGCCAAGGTGTTGTTTTAGAAGGGAAGATTAGTACACATATTCAGTGCTAAAATTCATAAGAATCTTTACCACACTCACAGCCAGCATCAAAAGCTCTAGTTGAGATAAAAAGTAGCCCAGCCAGTATGGTTCAGTGGCTGAGCATCAACCTAGGATCCCAGAGATCCTGGCACATGCCCGGGGTTTCAGGCTCGATTCCCAGTGGGGGGCATGCAGGAGGCAGCTGATCAATGACTCACCATTGCTGTTTCTATATCTCTCTCCCTCTCTTTTCCTCTCTCTGAAATCAATAAAGATGTATTTTTAAAAATACCTATGTGCTTATGGATACAGTGGTTATTAATTAAGGCCTTCTGGTAGACTCAATCTAAATGTTCATGTAAAGGTGTCAGCTTGACTAAGCAATGCACCAAGGCTATAAGGACTATTTAGTAGATAATAGCAAGAAAAAAACATACCTGTACATGGATTCGAGAGGGAAAATAAAACCTGTTTTTCTTCATCTCACTACAGCATTTTCTAAAAGAGCATCTTCAGTGTATGACCGTGAATGCCTCATTCTGTTTGATAACACAGGCCTGCTCCCACGTTTCACTACACCTGTGTCCTGTTCTCCCACTTTTCCACGGAACCCATCTGCTTCCAGTAATGCACTGCGTAACTTAACATGGGAGCATCACTTACAGTCTGCTCCCCTCAACCAGAAAAAAGTTCCATGGGAGTAAAATTATTTTAAGTTTTGTGTGCTAGTATATCACCTAGAAAAGTGTGTGACTCCCATAAGCTGTAAAATTAATCTTTCTTGAGGCACTGAATAAATACGTCGCTGTAATGTTCCTGTCTGTTTGAGCCGCTCTGGCTACTCCCAACTACTCAGTCACTATCCCCTCCTTCAGCTTCAGTTCCCCCCGAGACTCAGGAATTAAAAAAGGAATCATATTTTGAAGACAAACCACCAAGGTGATTAAAAATCCAGCAGAGTTGGTGTTGACGTCCCTCACCTAATAGATCTCAGTGTCCTCTACTAAACTTCCATTGGGATTATTGATTTCAAACTTGTGGTCTCCCCCATCTGTTTCTGCTACTTCCGTTGGGTATTTTTAGTCTTCACTTTAATAGCCTTCGGTAATTTGCACAATTAACAAATGTTTTTCAGAGACAATTTCCACCCCCCTTGCAGACATTATCACTGTAATCACAGGTGAAATGATAATCACTTCCCAACAAGGAGATGAGATCATGGAAACCCCAACCTTTATCTCAGGGTCAGATGCACCTTTCCACACCTGCACAGGTGCTGCCTGGGCATCACTGCCCCAGTTGCAAATGCCAGCCAGGTAAGCAGAATTCAGTTCAGATAAATATCAGACTCTGAGATGGGCTTCATCAGGAAGTTTAGTGTACATATGAAAAATGATTCTGTGTCTTGGGATTGGAACATAAAGCTGTATCTCTCTCTCTCTCTCTCTCTCTCTCTCTCTCTCTCTCTCACACACACACACACACACACACACACACACACACACACACACACACACACGTATGTTCATTCAGGACAGATTTTATGTTGGAAAACCCTGGGCATATTGCCAGCCTCACTCGCCTGGTTTGAGGGCCTGACCTTGCTTCTCTCCTTCCAGTTAGAGCCCTGTCTGAAGTCGTCTCTCCCGTGTTCCCCGACTACACACAGGGACCCTCGGGTTTTCGCTGTCCAGGCTTCATGCTCCAGTCAAGTGATGAGCAGAAAGAGAAGATGGGCTCCAGCTGCTGATCAGCGTCTGAGTGACAGGTGCTGTACCTGCATTTGCTTTTGTTTTGTTTTTTTGGGGGAAGAATATGTTGGACTAAATGGAGTCTGTGATAATGTCTCTAACGTTTCTGTCCTTATGAAGAGAATGTTAACATTTATTAAAAGAAAATGAAGGCTTGTTCCATCTCCCATGTTTGGGTTAAAAAAAAAAAAAGGCTTATTTAAGGAAACCTGTGGCTATTATGTTCGACAAGATATTTTAGGCAGGTCTCAGATGTTTTTTGCTTCACACTCAAGTGTCACTTGTCTTCAAGTTTTTCTTTGTTTTAGTGAGAAATGATGTTTAGATATCACTTTACTTTAGATGGTCATTACTGTGGACCATGATGTCTAGACTCTTTCAATGAAAATAGGATACATATGTGTTTTAAAATTATATACTACATGCATTATTTCTTCCCAAATTTATAGGAGTAAAGATTTCATTTAAAGTTGTATTTCATGCACAGATCATGTTTTGTCTTATACTAAAAGTCTTGTTTACCAATTATATTAATAGGTTTTTATATGTGTTAATGCCACATAAATTATTAATATCAGTATAATTTGCAAGATATGGGTATGAACGACATTTTACTGTTTCTTTTCAGGTATTTCTGCCATCATCTATGCCTGTTTTTTGGGAACTTGGCTTTTTTCTTACAAGTGCACATAGAATACCATGCAGATAGACCATTAGGGTGATTTTTTCATATAACTGAATTTTATGGATCATGATATGTGATTTTGTTGTTTTTCAACAATTATGTAATATATTTATATTTCAATACATCAGAAATGTAACTCAGACTACTTCATAAAGCCTAGCCTGCATTTATTCTGTCAGCAAGATCTATGCCCCTACATTTATATATGTGTAATTCTTAAAAAATAATCTTACACATGTTCGGTATCTTGCCTTTTTCATGTGAGAATATACTGTGGGGAATAATTGTATCTGTGCACAGAGCGTTCCTCACTCATCTCTACACCTGCAGGGGACCCGGGTGTGCTGCTGAGGCCCTGCGTTCACCCTGGACATTATACCAAGGCTGTCTAATACCCAGGTCTTCACTGACTTGCCTATGTACACATCAGCAAAAATTGTAACTACCCACTTCAAGTAAGTATATGGGAGGGACTAAGTTTTTAGAATTGAAGGACATGGTGATTTTGACACATTTACTTTCCTTTAACTATTCCTATGACTTCACTTAACACCCATGTTCTCTAGTTTCTGATAAGATGCCTTCTTCTGGCTCAGAAACGGGGATTATGCTTCTTACTCAGACAGGAATTGGCCTTCTGGGAAACATCTCCCTCCTGTGTCTTTGTAACTCCACTTTGCTCACTGGACATAATGTGAAACCCACAAACCTGATCCTCATGCAACTGGTCTCAGCCAACTTCCTGATTCTTTTCTCCGGAGGTATCCCTCACACAATGGCGGCTTTTGGATGGAAGTATTTCCTGGATGATACTGGATGTAAATGCATCTTCTATTTTCACAGTGTGGCCATAGGCGTTTCCTTCAGCACCATCTGTCTCTACTATGGCTTTCAGGTCATTAAGCTGAACCCCAGTATTTGGAGATGGATGGAGCTCAAGTTTAGATCCCGAAAGTTCATTTCCTTCTGTTGCTTCCTCTGCTGGATCCTGCAGCTCTTGATAAATTCATGTGTTCTCATACTAACGAATGGCCCACTGAATGGGAATTACCGGAGTGTGAAAAACAACTCGGGATTCTGTTCCTGGAACATACAGGAGAGTTTGGTAGGCTCACTAACTGTAGTAATTTATTTCTTCCCTCACTTTATGAGTTTGGGCTTTTTGATCTGGGCCGGTAGCTTCCTTGTTCTTTTTCTGCACAGACACAAGCAGCGAGTCCAACGCATTTGCAGCAGCAGACTCTCCCCCAGGCCTCCCTACGAGGCCAGAGCCACACGCTCCATCCTGGTGCTGATGAGCTCTTTTGTAATGTTCTATTCAGCCTACATTATTGTGATAATCTGGGTGACTCTAGCTGCACAGCGCAGCCTGTGGGTGCTGAACAGCTTTGTGTTTATGGAACCATCTTTTCCAACACTCTTCCCCTTTGTGCTCATCAGCAGCAATACCCGTGCCTCTCAGCTCTGCTTGGCCTGCAGAGCTAGGAAATCAGTTTCCTAATCTGGTTGTAGTTCTATGAGTCTCCTCTCAGTGTCATTTAAAAAATTATTCCAACTTTGTTAATGTTTGGGGACATCTGAAATGTAAGGAATGTGTAATGCTATTGCAAATAAGGGCAGTAACGTCCCTGTCTGCAGCAATCTTACTAAAAATGAACATCGTGTCTATAATGAAGCAAAGACTCCTTATTCCAACTGTTAGGTTCTTCAGTGAAGGCCAGGATACTTAAAACACTGTAATGGAGGGAAATTCCTGAGTTTAAGGCCCCAGGAACGTCTATCACTTTGAGCCTTATAGAGAGATTCCTGGAAAGTGTTCTGTTAGCTTTATTTAAATATATTTTCAAGCATCATTGAGTTCATCTGTTTCTGAAAGGGGAAAATCATCATGAAAGACCCACATGAGGAAGTATGTGCAGCTTCATGGCAGCGGGATGAATCCCTTGTGTTGGGAGTATTGAGATGGGAGCAGCAGAAATGAAGGGGATGGTTGTTCTGGGTGACCACTTAGGACAGGCCGAGAAACCTGAACTTCAAGGTATTCTATCTGGTGGGTAAAAGAGCTGTGCTCGTAATTTCAAATTATTTCTAAAATATAACTAAAGCAATCTACTTGTTTTTACTAGTAATGCTATAACTCTTTTAGTTTAAAAGTGTTGACAATGAATTAGCCTACAAAGGAAACACATCATCAGTTTCTAATAGGCAATATTAAGAACCCAGGTAATTTACAAATTATTTTTCTCAGATATTTTCACCTAAATCAAAAATTTCAAAAGGTTTTCCTATCCTAAAGTAATATAGTTTCAAGGTCTGATTATTTCTGTCTAGAAAATTGAGTATACTTTTCAATGCCTCATTTAATAAGATTTTACTTAATAAATTTGTTTTATTTAATAAATTAAATGTCCTAATTTTTTATTATCTGATATTCCAGCTACTTATTCCAGTTTATTATTTACCAATCTCTGTAATTACCATGCCTATCAAAATGTCAATAGTGTCTGTTTATTTAGTACCAAAATCATAAGGCTTCATATCTTAATTCCAAAATTATAAAATCTATTTATTTAAATAAAAATGTACATATTCTATAAATATTAACTTTGACACAATTACCTGTGAGGAAACTTTGTTATTCATGTTGCTTACTTTCACCAGATTTTAAATCAGTATGTGGTTAAGTTGGATATGTTTCCAATGTGTAAACAGTCTGCATTAAAAATTAATCTGGGTGGCCCCCGCTGGTTTGGCTCAGCGGTTAGAGCACCAGCCCACAGACCAAAGGGTCTCGGGTTCAATTCCTGGTCAAGGGCATGTACCCTGGTTCTGGGTCAATCCCTGGCCCCAGGTGGGGTGCGTGCGGGAGGCAACAAATCAGTCTTTCTCACATCGACGTTTCTCTCTTTCTCACCCTCCCTTCCACTCTCGCTGAAAAGCAATGGAAAAAATATCCTCGGGCGACGATTGTAAAAAAAAATTTTTTTAATTGGCTAAGATTAGAACTGTGAGTTTAGGTAAATTAGAGGTCTGAGTAGGTGTTAGCTTGAGATCACTCTGCCCCAGGGCAAGGCTAAGATGGAAGACCTGTCACTCCGCCATGGTCACCTCTCCCACAACTTCACAAGGTGGAAGTGTTTATGGCCCTGCAGGAGAGTGTCCCAGGACCTCCCTGGCTCTAATTCCTACCCCCTCCCCGCCCAGTCCCAGCACACGGATATAGACTAGCCAATAGTGGTATCCTGTAATTCTTTGTTCTTGGATCTGGGGCTTTCGGGGTTTCTCCTGCCCAGGGTTCTGAATCAGTCAGGAATTATAAGGAGCGATTCCCACTTCAGCGGGCAATGAGGCGACTGAAGGTACCTTGGGCATAGGGAGTCTCTTATCCAAACAACTGGACGTGAGAATTAGTCACAAGTATTTAGGGAACTGTAGGTCTGCGTTGTATTTATTGGAAAGGGGGAACACAGGGCAGGAGTCAGTAACCCAATAGTTGGCTGAGAGGTGGGCCTGTTTTTGAGAGAGAGAAGCCATGGAATCCTTGGAGCAGATGGAAGTGACCTGAAGGTTACACAGGCTTTCTTTGCCTAGAGTGGGGAACAGATGGTAGGCTGAGGGTCGAAGCACCTGCAACAATCCAGGTGTTTGTTTATGGCTGGGCCACAGGCCCAGCTCCCAAAATAAGATAGGTTAGTTTCTCCACCTGCTGCGTTTGTAGGATCTAGATTGTTTTGGAAGGTGAAAGAAAAGAATCAGGAATGACATCTTTTGGCCTTAGCATCGAGCATATGAAAAATGACCTCAGCTGAAATGGAAAAGCCGTGGTGGGAGTCATTTTCTGAGGTGATATCAGGAGTTAAGTGTTTGGCCATGGACTCAGGCATGTTTCAGATACCCTGGGAGGCAGGGGCAAATGGGCAGCTGGGAACACAAATCTGGAGTTCAGGGGAGGGATTCAGGTTGGCGACCCTCATAAGCTTGTGGGCCCCGTGACCAGTCCACATTTAGGAAGACTCATCATCTCCTGGTGGCAGTGACATGAGGGGTCAAGGAAGGAGAGTGGGGGTTTTGGCTTGAGCACTTTGTTGGGCTCCCCACCCACTCTCATTTGCACCTGTCCCCAGAAAATGACTCTGGAGTGGACAGGGTGGGTGGGAATGAGTGGATGGAACACCCACAGTGGGCTCTGGAGGCTCCAGGTCTGAGGCCTTTCCCAGTACCCTCCCGGTGGCATGCCAAGCATGCACATGCACACACTACCATTTCTCCCCAGGGCAATTCCTAGCTGCCACAATCCCTAACATCCCAGGGTGAAATGTCTCAAACCCAGCAGCATCCCATAGAACCAGCAAGCAGCAAAGGATGCCAGTGTGTGCGCAGCCGTCAGTGAGATGCCAAATCATTGGGGCCACCTGTGCTAAGGCCTTTTGGTTGTGTCCTGGCCTCTGAGGCTCCCTGGCACCTCTCTGGTTCTGTCTAGCTGGTGGTGTGGTTTTGCAGTTTGACAAATGAGGCACCTGGGCCTTGGGGGGACCCCCTCCAAGAGTGTTATGGCCTCAATGGTATGTGCCCCTCACTAGATGGCATGATGTTGCCAACCAATGTGCCCACTGGCTCCCTGCACTCTTACCAGGCCCATCTGTCCAGGAGCACCAGCTTGTCTCTGTGGAACCCAGGAAAAATACCAAGGGAGCCTAGTGACTGACTGGGACCAAATTTAAAAGCAGAGCCTTCAGCAGTCTTTTCCCCACAGGGGCCTCTCACGCAAAGTGTGTTTAGAGGGAAGCCTGCACTGAACTTCCTGCACTGTCCCTGCCATTTGAGCAGCCCTTATAAAGAAGTCCCTAAAATTGCTTCCACCAATAGGACTGAGGCTTTCCCCACCCAATAGTAGCTGTGCAAACGTATCCACATCACTTTAACCCTTTCTAATGGAGATGTTTTCCAGCTGAGGTTGAAACAACAAAACTAACACTGCACCAGAGCAGGTGGAGCAGAGCTATCTCACTGGCAGCTGCAGGGGCGTTGCCTTGCCCCAGGGCTTACCTCACAGCTGTGCAGCCTCTGCCGCACTGGCTGACACGTCACAGTTGAAGCAGGACATGTCTAAGTACATGCTGCTGGAACAAGCACTCATTTTCAGCCAGTTATGGATCTCTTGGACTGGGCTGACATAATTCTAGTGCTAATACAAGTCAATGGATGTTGAACCCACCCACCCCCACCAGTGGGGAGGAAATGCTTTCAGTTCTCAAAATCAACTATGTCAGCCTGCCCCTCGCCCGGAGGCTTTGGAGACTGTTCCAGAATCTGATTGCAGCCCCTCCTGGCAGCAACCCACTTAGAAATCTGCTCTATCAACTTTCGGTGGTAGTCATAGTGACCACTGAGACCACAGGTTAACACAGAATGCAACTTACCCACTGGATCAGAGGGAGGTAGTGATGAAGATAACACAGAACTTTTGTGGCCCTGCATTGGAATGAGCCCACTTTTAAAGGTCTCTTAAGAACCAGACGGCATATCTGGTTGCCAACTGCAGAAACTACAGTTCCATGTCGTCTGAAGTGAATCTTAAATTTTGGTGAACAGTGTGCAGTCTTTGGTACAGCATTATTTCTACACTCCTTGGAAATGACGTATTTGACACCTACAAAATCAAAGTAACTATTGGGAAGTATTAACTGGGCCACCTCACAATTCCACTTACCCCTCTCCTCTCATGGGCTTTTGTTGTCTTAATGTGTATAATGCTGACATTAATAGTAAGTCATTTTTACCAGCAAAGTGTGTGTTTATTCAGGAGCAGCAAAGAGCTGTAATTCGGGAAGGAGAGGAATGTTATGGGGGCAAAAAGAAAGTTGGGAGGGGTTGTTTTGGAGAAAAGTGGGAATTCAGAGCAACAACTGCTTCTCATAGGGTGAGCAGGTGGAATAGCTGACTTCATGGATGAGACGCATTTACACTGATAGTCAAACGTCCTCTGCTGACAGACTTAAATTCATCAAGAATACTGTTCAATAAAAAGATCAAGTATTTCACAGAAGTGTGATTGACGTCTATAAGCCTCAAAATATGAGCATGAAGGAAATTGAAACATAAAACCTTTGAGAACTCATGACTTAAATCATATAAAATTCTATAAAACACAAAACCCATGAAAGACACTAGCACCAATCCCTCTTGCTGAGGGCAGAGGGAGATATTAAAAAAGGGCACAAGGTGCCCTGGCCAGTTTGGCTCAGTGGTTAGAGCATCAGCCCACAAACTGAAGGGCCATGGGTTCGATTTGGGTCAAGGGCATGTACCTCAGCTGCAGCCTCAATCCCTGGTTGGGGAAATGTGGGAGGCAGCCAGATCAATGTGTCTCTCTCACATCGATGTTTCTGTCTCTCCCCCTCCCTTCCATTCTCCCCTAAAAAAAGGAAAAATATCCTCGGTGAGGGTTAACAAAAAATAAATAAAATAAAGGTAGGTTTTTAAAAAATAAAAACGGCCTAAGAATGAGACAACTGTTCATTATGATTTTGATAAGTTTCGTGGATACATGCCAACACTAAACAACTAAAAGGTGTAGTCCCATAGCACGTCAATGTATAAAAATTGTTCAAATGATAAATCTGGATCCCCCTGCATTGTTTTTCACACGCATTCTTTGGGAAGCACAGCTCGGCCTGGAAATAGAAATGACCTTATTTGCCAGTTTTCCTGACAGTTACTTGGCTGGGACACAAAAACTGCTACATCCCTGGTCTCTCACTATTTTCATTTCCTTGCCTGTGCAACATGTTCAGATGGAATAGCAACGTGTTCTGACACCACTATAATAACCAAATAACCAAAGCTATACTTGCTGACAATGGCCTCACTCACTGGACACTCATCCCCACACAGCCTTTAGTCACTGGAACATGCACGGAGGGTACACCCTCTCTCGATGCCCCAGTATCACTGTGTTTTGAAACAAATTATGGTTTCAGCCCAGCCTCTGCAGTCTTACAACCACTAAGAGCAGACTACCCAACTCGAGACATGAAAGGCACATGATTCCTCTGTGTAGCACCTGGGAAACAGCTTCCTTATAATAGTGCTCAGCATATGATGTGACATCCCTGGGAAAGGGAACCAATTTATACTTGCAAAAGCACTGGAGGTTGTCACAAATCTCACCCTCTTCCTCTGGGCTGATATCCAGGGTAAAAATGAGGGCCAAAAAGTGCTGTCGGTCTCTCATAGGAGGCCTTAGGGAGCAATGCGAGTTAGAGCATAAGTGGAAGAAACTAACCCTTTTCTTCAAGATACCATTACCCATCCTGATCTTGGCTAACAAAACTGGGTCCAGATTATGCCCTAATCAGTCAGAAAGGAGAATGAGTCTCCCTTCCTCAACTCAGAAACATCTGAGGAACCTCAAGGTGGTTGGCAGAAGTGAGAGATGGCTTGTGGCAGGGGCATGAATTCAGGCAAAGGGAACTGGCAGGGTAGAAACAAAAGCTTCCCACGCACCCAGAATTCATGGGGGAGAATCTCCCTACTGTAGACGTTGAAGCATAAAGTTCAATTTCAAGCAGAGGGCTTCCTAACAAAAAGTAGCATGTTCCCTGAGAGAGGTCTCAGGCTTTTCTCCTATGTGGACTTTCTGGGGCCAAACGACGTTAATATCTTTAGATAAAGTATCTCTGGGTTTAAGCTGTCATGCTGAAATGACAGCAGAGCGGGGGCTGACAAGTTTCCCCAGAGGCATTGCATATTTGTGAGGTTATCTGGTGTGAAGTTTTCTGTGTTGAATGATGTGGGAGCTTTGGCTAAAGGATTTCCCACATTCCCCACACTCATAAGGCCTTTCTCCTGTGTGAACTCTCTGGTGCTGAATGAGGTTAGACTTTTGGCTGAAGGATTTCTCACACTCATCACACTTATAAGGCCTGGCTCCAGTGTGAATTCTCCTGTGTTGATTGAGAGTAGAGCTGTGGCTGAAAGATCTCCCACAATCCCCACATTCATAAGGCCTTTCGCCAGTGTGAATCCGCAGGTGCTGAACAAGTTTGCACTTGTAGCTGAAAGATTTTCCACATTCGCTGCATTTATAAGGCCTCGCCCCATTGTGAATTTTCTGATGTTGGACAAGGTTGGAGCTCTGACTGAAGGAGTTCCCACACTCCCCACACTTATAAGGCCTGGCTCCCGTGTGCACCCTCTGGTGTTTAATGAGAGTGGAACTGTAGCTAAAGGATTTCCTACACTCCCCACATTCATAAGGCTTGACTCTATTGTGAATTTGCAGATGCTGAACAAGCCTGAGTTTGTAAGTGAAGGCTTTTCCACACTCACTGCATTTGTAAGGCCTGGCTCCAGTGTGAATTCTGTGGTGCTGAATGAGGTGGTAGCTTTGGCTGAAGGATCTCCCACATTCGTTGCATTCATAAGACCTTGCTCCCGTGTCAGGTCTCTGGCAATCACTAATGGGGGAGCTTTGGTTAAATGGTTTCTCACATACATCACAGTCATAATGACTTTGAGGGTGAAGCTGCGGATGCTGAAGGAGTCTGTATTCGTAGCTGAGTGGTTTCCCATAGTCACTGTCCATGTAATGACTCCTCCCGCTGTGAAAGGCCTCCTCATCCCCACACTGGAAATTGCTGGGTGACTTTGCCACTCTGAGAGTGGCTTGATGCTGGAGAAGGCTCAACATGGCCAGGAAGTCCTTCCTGACTGCCCCACAAGTGAAGGTAAAGGGCTTCCCTGACATGTGGAACTTGCAGCCTGTCATAAATGAGGCTGTGTCCATGTCCCTCCAGAGTAGCTTCTCTTCATCGGGCTTCTCGTGCAGGTCTGGGCTAAGACAGGGTTGTCTTCCACAGGGCTCACAGGTGTGTGACTTCTGGCGAGAATGTGATCCTGGGTATCCTGTCAGGTACAAAACATCTCCCCTGACCAGGACACACTTCTCACAGGGTTGAGTCTCTTGAATGGCTGGGTCTAGACTTGGATTCTGGCCCAGTGACGTTTCTGCTATAGAAACACTCTGCACAGACAGTGCTGCCTCTTCCTCCATTCCGTACCAGCAACCTGAGGACACAGAAAGGCTGGTGAGTGCATGCTGACTCTGCGGGGTGGGAGCAGACTCATCACAGATGCGTGCGAGGGACACCAAAGAATCGAATTCAGTGGACTGTTTTGTACTAATCCTGGGACTCTAGAAGCCCCAAGAATTAAGGGGGGGTTCCCAATTGATTCCTCTTCCTTATGGCCTTGAGAGATTGTTTTAAAGACATGTGCAATCCTTGCAGCAAGTGTGATGCAACCGAGGAACAGAATCAGGGTAGAAATGAGAACTGGGGGAAATCTCAAGAATGGGGAAGGGCAGGCAGACACGAAATGGGCATAGGACAGGTTCCTGGTGTGATCTGAGCACACCCTCCTGCTATGTGCTGCCCCAGCTGCCTTTCATCGTCATGTCCATCCTGTGAGGCTCCCAGGACTCTTCTTCCTAAACCCCAGGTGAACAACTGTGTGGAACCTGGATGACAGAAGCCCTAAGGAAACAGGTGAGGAACTAGCACTGGCCCAGAGCAATTCTGCACATAGCAGACAATAGGAAACAACTAAATGTTACCAAAAGAACCTCAGACAAATCTTGAAAGAACAGCCCTTGGGACATACCAGTGACAGCACGTGCTGGCATAGGTGGGGAAAAATGAAAGGTAGGGAGAATGGCCTGGACAATGTCCCAGCTGGGGGAGGGCAGGCAAGGTAAACTGGGGCAACACATTTTGGGCTCTAGGTTTAGGATCAGTCTATCTGGCCAGGGACTGGGAAATAAGTGCAAATGTGAGAAGAGCAGTGTAGCCCTGGGAGAAAAAGCAAAGAGGGAGTCTCCAGCTGGGTACTGGAAATAGCAGGGGAAACACACTGTCAAGTATTGTCTGAAACTAATACAATAATGTTGAATGCCAACTGTAATTTAGATATGGAATCTAGGCCATGCACTGGGGTGGGTATGAGGACTTACCCAATGAGGTGACAAGGGCAAAGTTCTCCAGCATCACGTCATGGTAGAGGCATCGCTGCGTCTCATCCAGGAGCCCCCATTCCTCCCAGGAGAAGTACACAACCACATCCTCAAAGGTCACACGGCCCTGCCATGAGATGGAGAGATGAAACTACAAACAACTCCTCTGCCAAGGCCCTGCAATCCATCTCCCCACACATCTGCCTCAAGCATCCCAACTCAGAGGAGATACCAAGCCTTCTTCATCAGGAGGTGGCCCAAACACACATACTCACCAGCCACCCAATTTCCCTAAAATATCCTCCATAGTATACCTCCCAGGTACACCTAAATGTACCCTCAACCTTGACTTAAGTCTCTAATGCCAAGGACCTGGGGGCATTGGCTCAAATGCACCCTCATGTGCACTTCTCTAGCACCTGTTACCCACCACATGGCATCAAGAGTACTTGGCACAAACAGGACCTAGTGCTACTACAGACCTGACGGACCCGAAGTCCACTGTGAAGGCCCTGTCTGCTTGGGACCCTTGCTTCACCCTCAGCCCCGTCACACATACCCATGGTCTTCTATTCCTGTGTTGTGCCGATGTTCCCTCACCAGTCGGTCCTTTCTTTCCTTTCCCTCTCTTTTCCTTTCCAGGGGCCATGCTAATCTACTCTGTATTGTTCCAATTTTAGTGCATGTGCTGCCAAAGCGAGCACTCAGCCCTTTTCTTTACACCTTCCCTCATTTGCTCCTTAGCTATGCTGCTTTGCTAGGGGCTATCATAACAAAGTACCCTGTCATATTGTAGTAGAGCCCACCTATTACCTCATTTTAACGTAATTACCACCTTAAGAACCCTATCGCCAACTATAGCCACGTCCTGAGGTACTAGGGATGAAGTACTTTAACATAAACTTTAGGGGGACACAATTCAGCCCCTTACCTCACAAACGAGCACATCTAACGGCCTGAGTAAAAAACCCCCAGCTCCATGAAAAACTGCATTAAAGTTCTGGTGAGTCAAGAATGACCTTTAGGTCGGTCACCTTGCCTTAACTACTTCTAGCTTTCTGTATCTTCTGTCCATTCTTCCCTTGGAGGCATTGGCCACCTGCTAGATCACCCTCTTCCCCGCCCTCACCTGTGTTTGACCATTCCCTCCAACCAGGTGCCCAGAAAGAGACCCAGACTTCACACTGACCCTCTCCTTCCCAGACTGTTAATAACATACCAGCCAAATTCCCCGTCCTGTGACACACACAGCTCTCTTCCAGTACACACAGTAGGTGTCTAATGCTGAACCTCACCTCAAATTTGTAGTCCAGCTGCCTCCACTGAGTATTTTCTTGACCGAAATTACTCCCAGTACCGACTGCTCCAGTCCAGTTAAGGGAGCTCTCATACCCCTAGGTACTAAGATAGGATCCGTAGGGTGGTCATCCCTGACTCCTCCCATTCTGTTCCTTACTCTCCAAAAACTTCTCCCTCCTCCATGGCTACATTTTACATTCATCTCACCTGGACTTTATGGCAGCTTCCTCCCCAATCTTCCCAGGCTTTTTCATGGGTAAGACCACCACCACTTTACTCATCTCTCTGTTCCCACCATTTTGCACATACTGGTCCTGTGCCTAGAAATGCCTCCATACAGCCAGCCTGGGTTTGATGCTTCTCCAGGGGCTCAGAGAATGGCAGATGAAGAGCACCCCTCCCTTAACATGTATCCAGTTACACAAATCAGTGGGCAGAGAGTAGGGGCAGAGGCAATCGTGGTGGAGCTCACCTGCCCATTCACGGTGTCAGGAGACCTCATGCCAACTGTCTACACTTTGAGATTCAATCCTCAGTGCTGACTCTTAACTCAACCTCCCTGTGCCTCCTCACTGTCATCAACCCTCTTTACTCTGTTCTTCCTGTAAAGAGCCTCTTGGCAAGCTTTTATCCCCAACTCAGATACTGTTTCCCCTTTGGTGCATTCCCCCGACTCCCAGGACCCTCAGCCTGTTATTTCCCAGTGTCACTCCAGCTCACACTCTCTGCTCCCTAAGGGGAGAAGGTGAACCTCAGGTTCCCAAATCTTCCTGGGTCAGTCCTAGCTCCACGTCTTTGCATGGTTGGCCCCTGTGAGGTGTCACCATTGTCCTGGGCGCTGGGGTCTGGGCTGCAGGACATGACCGATGCCCTGCACCTGGGGCTTTAGGGTTTAGGGCATGGGCGGGGGTTGTGCACTCACCTCAGCTGGGCCCCTCAGTGCAGCCACTGCCATTGTACTCTGTGCAACAAGGACAACAGCTCCTGTCCCGCCTTCTGTGTCTGGTCGTCGCATCTGGAATCTCTGAACAAGGAGCGGCCACAAGGAGGATGCTGGCAGTCCTGGACCTTCATTGGCTCTACACAGATGCCACTCCACACAGGGTCCTTGGGGTGATGGCGTTCTCACAGCTCCAGAGGCCTTCAAGTCAGGCGGCCCACAGTGGAACTTCCTGGAACAGAGGAAAAGCAGCAGTGAGAGGGGTGTCCTGGCTGTAAGGCCAGGACAGGTGACTCTTTCTTAAAGGGGCCATGCCCACATTCTGAGGGAGCTGCCTGTAACTAATTGCTTATGTGTTTAGAGACATTATTTAAGACTCCAGGAAGTAGCCAGAAGCTACTATTATTTCAGGAACCCCCCCATTCCCCCAACTTTTATATTATCCAATTTTATAATCACATAGTCACTGACACCAACTAAACTCACTAGCTTCTATGGCTTCTGAAGCTGAGCCTTTGTCTATTATTTCTATTTCATTATTAGACCAGCCAAAAGAACCTTGAGGGTAGGGAAGAGTTTCTTCCTCCCCCACAGGATACAACAAAAATGAATGAGGAAAGGAGCCACATGTGCTCACCAGGGTCAGGATGGTGCCTGGTTTCCTAGGAAGGCTGGAATGCAGTCCAGTGCTGATTGTGCAGCACTCACCTTTTAAATCTGTCGAGCACAAAGACAACAAAGCCATTAGCCCACACAAGGCCAAACACATTACACAAAAATCACAGATTTTGACAATATTTCCTGAACCTCTCCATTCTATCTGGAATATCCCAGGGAAATGTGCGTGTCACTCTCATAAAAATGTCAGTAGATACACCAAGAGTTTCAGGATCCAGTGGAGGAAAGAGCAGGAGCTGAGGTACTGGGACAAAACTAATGACCTAGTACATACTCAGGGAGCAAGTCTTGCTGGGGGAAAGCCCATGCCCATTCTGCGCAAAACAGAAGATGAGGTAACATCCAGCAAACCTCCCTTTAGAAAAACAATCATTTGTCAGCAAGTTGCTACCAAGGGCCCCATGTCTTTGGGTTTCAACACCTGCCCCCTTTTTGTTATTGTTATAAAAAAAGTGAGGAATTTCCAAGAACCCCAATCCCTGTGTGAATGAGGAAGTATCCAATTTTAAGCATGTTCAGAGGCTGACTGTATTTGAATGAGAGGAATGTGATGACAGAACAGAGAGTCCACTATCATCACACCAGAAAATGGCTCGACTCACACAACAAATTCCTTTATAATTACAAAGCTGTTTTCTGTAGATTAGAATAAATCCTGTACCATCATGGTACTAGACATGCTCAATAAATTTTGCATAAGGCTGAACCGGCAGATCATAATCTTACATTAAAAAAAATTATCAGAATATCATGCATAGTTAGCTTTTTTATAGAAGGGGATGTAAACTTGTGTCACATTAAACATTTAAAAAAGTCATCTCAAATCTCTCAACGGTACACAAAACTCCAAACAAGCAGCGGCTAGCCTCGGCATGACCTGCACTTCTTGCTAAGCATCCCCAAGCCAGCCTCAGTTCTCAGCATAGCCTCTCTCAGGTGCCTCCACTTTGCACTTTGTGGAGATCACTTTGTAGCTCCTATCAGGCAGGAACTGACCCTGGCCTCCACTGGAGGCCCTCCCAAGAGGCCCCAGAACCACACCAGAGTACCACCGAATTGGCATAAGTGACAAACCCAATGGGTGGACTCGATAGGCACCAGAGCCCCACTAAAGTAAATCCTGCTCCTCGGGATAAACCCCCACTCAACAGTGTACAATGTAGTCAGGACCAATCCCACCCACTGAAGTGCCAACAGCAATCCAGGCTCAACTACAAAAGAAGGGCACACACAACTCACACATGGGATGCTCCTGGAGCACCCAGTTTAAGTGATCAGGAAGGAAGACTGCACAACTGAGCCCCACAAAACACCTACCTAAAGCCACCCTGCCAAGACACAGAAGATCTATAGAAACAAAGACATGCAGCCAAAACAAAGAAACATGCCCCAAATAAGAGAACTAAACAAAATGGAGGCATGCAATCTATCAGACACAGTTCAAAACACTGGTTATAGCCCTGGCCAGAGTGGCTCTGTGGTTTGAGCACTGGCCCACTCACCCAAGGGTCATGGGTTCGATTTCCAGTCAAGGTACCTACCTGGGTTCCAGGTTGGAATACTAACCTGGTTGGGGCATATGTGGGAGGCAACTAATCAATGTGTCTCTCTCACACTAATGTTTCTCTGTCTCTCTCTCCCTTCCCCCTCCCTCCCACTCTCTCTAAAGATCAATGGAAAAAATATCTTTGGGTTTAGATTAACAAAAAAATTAATTAAAAAAAATAATGATAATAATGGAAAAAAACACCACTGGTTATAAGGATGCTCAATGAACTTAGGAGAAGAGTAAATGAAATCAGTGAGCACTTCTACCCTAAAAGAGAACCAGTCTGAAATGAACACGTCTGATGGACTCAAGGGTAGATTACACGAAGCAGGGAATCAAATGAGCGATTTGGAGACCAGGCAGAGGAAAACACCCTAATGGAACAGCAAGAAAAGAAAAAAACAGAAACAGTTTAAGGGGCCTCTGGAACAATATAAAGCATACCAACATTTGCATAATAGAGGTGCCAGGAGCACAAAGGACTGAAAACCTAGTTGAAGGTTTATGATGAAAAAGTCCCTTAATTTGGCAAAGAAAATAAGCATACCAGTTCACAGAGCACAGTGTGTACGAAAGATTAAGGACAAAGAGAAAAGCTTAAAAGCAGCAAGAGAAAGACAGTTACCTACAAGGGAGCTCCCATAATACTGTCAGCTGATTTCTCAACAGAAACTTTGCAGGCCAGAAGGACTTGGCACCAGATAGTCAAACTAATGAAAAGCAAGGACTTATAAACCATTTAGACTCTTAGGAGAGATAAAGGGCTTCCCAAAGGAGCTCGGCACCACCAAACCAGTATTAGAAGAAATGTTAAAGGGACTTCTTTAAGAAAAGAAAAAAAAGCAGGTCAGGTAGCTAAATTGGTTAGAGCGTTGTCCTGGTATACCAAGGTTTCGGGTTTGATCCCCGATCAGGGTACATACAAGAATCAACCAATAAATGCATAAATAAGTGGGACAACAAATCGATGTTTTCCTCTCCCCCTTCCTCTCTAAAATCAATCCATAAAAAAAAATTTTAAAAAAGAAAAAATATAAATAAAATGGCAATAACAATATATCTATCAGTAATTACTTTAAATGTAAATGGATTAAATGCTCCAATCAAAGGACACAGGGTGACTAAACCAAGAAGAAAACAAGACCCACTTCAGGTAGAAAGACTGGATGCAAAATATTATTTATGAAACAAAAAGCTGGGGTAGCAATACTTCTATCAGACAAAATAGACTTTGAAACAAAAGCTGTAAAACAAGAAACAAAAAAGGATACATAATGATAAAGGAATGAACCCAACAAGAGGATATAATAACCATTGTAAACATTTACACACAACACAGGCACACCTAAGTATATAAAGCAAATATTGTCAGACATAAAGGAGAGACTGACAGTAATACAGTCATAGTAGGGGACTTTAAGACCCCACTGACACCAATTAGATCATACAGACAGTAAATCAACAAGGAAACAGCAGCCTCAAATGACACATTAGACTACATTAATTTAATTGATATTTTTAGAACATGTTATCCCCAAAGCAGCAGACTATACATGTTTTTTAAGCGCATACAGAACACGGTAGGCTACAAAACAAGTCTCAACAAATTTAAGAAGACAGAAATCACATCAACCATATTCTCTGATCACAATGGTATAAGAAACCTGAAAACACAAACACATGGAGCATAAACAATGTTACTAAACAACGAGTGGCTTAGCAACAAGATCAAGGTAGAAATAAAAAGATATCTTGAGACAGCATTTGAGATCTTACTTCCTGGCATGCTGCCAGTATGGTTAAATAACCTTTTTTTTTTTCCTTTTGGTTAACACACTCATCCTAGGATAATTTTTCCACTGATTTTTAGAGACAGTGGAAGAGATGGAGGCAGAGGGAGAGGGAGCGAGAAACATCAATGTGAGACAGACACATTGATTGGGTGCCTCCCCCACACACCCCCCATCCGGGACTGGGGTTTAAACCTGCAACCCAGGCACATGCCCTTGACCAGGAATTGAACCCATGACCGTTCAGTTCGAGGGCCAACACTCTAACCACAGAGCCGAACAGGCTAGGGCATCTTCTGCATTTTTATTTCCGAAAGCTGGCAGTCCTAAGTAAACCAATAATGTACTATTTTAATTGGGTATAATTTTAATATGTGAAACTGGTATAGTAAGGTTATTATTTCTGTTACAACAAATTATATAAAATTTGAGATACATGTTCTCGGTTGGAAATATTTTGCAAATGTGTTATGGTCTCTGCCTTTTCATTTTTAAGTCATTTGAAAATCAAAGTTTTTAATTTCAAAAATCCTTCATCTTCTAGCCCCCAGAACTGTGAAAAATTCCTGCTATTTATTAGTCACCTAGATTATGGTATTTTGTTATAGCAACAGAAGCACCCAAAGACACTTTCCTTCCACATTAGGAAATCTAGTTGTTCCTTAACAAAAACACATCCAGAATCCGGCCACTTCTCCTAAGCCACGTCTCTGGTTCCATGAACCCTGTACTGAATTACTGCAGTAGTCTCCACCCTGGTTTCCTTCCGCTTCCTTTACCCTCACAATACACTCTTCACTGTGCAACGATGGAGCCTAGGACCTGAGTAAGGTCATCTGCCTCCTCTGATCAAATGTCCCAGAATAGATAACCAGCTTCTCGCAAGTCATTCCAGCCCTGAATCCTGTCCTTCTGCTGAGTTCCCATCTGAAAGGAGCCCTATCCATCCTGAATGCTCCCAGCTCAGCTTTACCTCTAAGCAGTTTTACATCCGGGCCCTAGGATAACCTTTCCACACCTCTGTACATCGGGTGCCAGGAAGGAAAATAAAATACAACCACGCCAGGTTTAAATGGGTTCGTACCTGGCCCTTGAGCCAGGTAGACAAGGGCTGGCTGTCTAACCTCTGTGCCTCAGTGTCTCACCTTACTGGCTCTGTGTCCCTGAACAAAGATTTAAACGCCTGGTGTCTCGATGTTTTCATTACCTTCCTTCCGCTGAACAGCCTCTGGGAAACTTGTAAAACCCTAATGTAGTTCGTGTCCCTCCTTTGTTTAAAATCCATCCTGGCCCGAGAGCTCAGCGGGGTAGATAGATATCCTGATACACCGACGGCGCGGATTCCACCTGGTCAGGGCGCGTCCAAGAACCACGCCTGAATGCATCGAAAAGGGGAACGAATCCGTGTTCCCCTCCCTTCCCCTCTCTCTAAAGTCAACACGTAAGATAAATAAGTAAAACAGCTCCCGCCCGGCTTCCACAGCGGGCAGGTGGGACGCGCGGCCCGCCTTCCGGGCTGACCCCGCCGCCACGCGGCCTCGCACGCCCCGC